GCTGTATTAATTCCCAGCACTCTGGAGGGTGAGGCGAATGGAATACTGAAAATTAATTGTTTTCACATTAGCACTATTTTTTTGGAAATGTGGTAAGATATTTACTCCACTGTGTCAGGGAGCAAATGATCAGACCCATTTCAATCACCATGAAGAAAGAAATGGAATAATAATATCTACCTTGTATGGTAAATAAGTAACAGTCAGTTCTGTGAACAATTGCATATGCTGTGAGAGGCCATTAAAGTATAAAGTAAACCAGTTGTTACTGGGACTAGTGAAGTATTTCTTAGTGCCTGCAGGTGCACAGGATTCAGTCCTAACTCTTTTGAAGTGGTTAGAAGGCAAGTTGGTACAGATTTGCTAAATCATAGTAATGTATTTTCAGGTATTTTGTCTTGACATACAGAACTGCTGGGGAAGGCATTTTGCAGAGGGATGAAGGCAAGTGGTGCAAGTGCTTTATTTAAGCACTTGAAGCTGTTGTCTGTTAATTTCTCCAAGCATACACTTTTGAAATCATGTTAGTATTCTGTCCTGGAGTTCAAAGCTCAGCTTCTTCCATTTTCCTATAAAGAAATGGTGTTTTGTGCCTGCACTCTAAGTTGCTTGTATCCTTTAAAATATCTGTGCTATAATACTGCAAACGGCTTCTGTCAGAAACTGGAAAACATTTTTTCCAGGTGCTAGTCACATTTTCTGGGCTTGTCTTTCAGTTGTCATGTAATAGGTTTAGTGCATGACTAAAGGATTTTCTGAAATTCCACATAAAATGTTTTATAACACTGTAATGTTAATGTTTCTTATACCTGACAGCATGATGAACTCAGATGATTAAGTGTGCAGTGCAGTGCAGAGAGTACCAGAGCAGCTGTTTACTGGTTACAGTCCTACTGCTTTTAAACTTTCTCCACATCTGCAAATTGCCAAGTGAATATTTTTGACGGTGTTATTTTTCATTTTCTGCACATCAGAATAGCAAAGTAAATTGTCTCAGTGTAAGAACGACTGCAGGAGTTGTATAATCTGTATGTTTATAGTGTGTGGATATATGTATATAGTGTATTCTCTGTATAAAGAGAGACCGAGAGAGAGAATATTAACTGTGATGAAGTCATGAACCCAGGCGCCCGCTATAGGCATCTGCAAACACTGGTTACCCTGGCAACAAGTGGAAAGAGGTTGGAGAGGAAAGCTGGAGTAGGTTGTTGCATTGAATTGTTTTCAGCTTGTTTCTTCCTCACTAAGCAGGGAGATGTTGAAAGGTATGATGTCCCTCTTTCTATGTGTATACTATTTTATATGTATTTAGACAGTTGTTGGGAAAGGGAAGGCTAAAAAAAAATATTTGTAGTTCAGCTTGACTGGAGATGAACTTTTCAATGTAACTAACATTATGCATTGCAAATCTGTGGTTTTTTCTATGTGCTTAATTTTTGTGTGTTGTGTTGTAAGGTGAGAGTGCTAAATGGATCTCCAGAGCACACAGTATTTGTCCCATCTTTAGCCTGGAGACAAGTGACTCTTGCATATTACGTCTTCAGAAACTGATTTTATTTTAAACTGGGTTTGCAGAGCTAATGTTTGAAAACCTGCCAGGCCAGTACAAGTACCGGGTATTACCAAAAGATTTTTTAACTGATTCTAAATCTGCGTTCCTGAACACCTTCAGAATGTGCTGTACCTATATTCTTGTGCTGTTGCACTTGTGCAGAATATTGTGGCTCGTAAGTTAGTGGAGTCTTTACTTCCCTGGGGAAAGTTTTTATTAGAAAAACTAGGACATTATGTTCAGGGCTATAACAGCCTCTTCCACAAGACAAATATCAAGATATTCTCTTCAGAAATCTGGTTTAGACAAATAATAGGAGATCCAACTGTGTGTTTCTTCTTGATTATACTTCTCTCTTTTGCCCTTTTCATCTGTAATGAAAAAAGATGTAATATCTATCTGTGCACTGTATTAAAGTATAAATTATGATATATAAACCTGAAACAACTGATTCTTGTCAATCTCAATTTTAAAAAATAAGTGGTTCATTAACTTTATTTTTAACTTAGAAATAATGCCACTCAAGTGACTATTAAAATTAAAAAAAAAAAAATGCACAGTCCTAAAAGAATAAAGTGTGTGACCCAGTCAGGGAATAGATTTTAGTCACTATGTATTTGATGCCTCTGACGGCAAGGGACTGATTAACAGACAGTGGTTCTTGATTTCTCATGTAATGAAAAACACAGCCTCAGAAAATATTAACAAGTGTTGTTTCCAGAAGTGCAGCAGTAGAAATACACACTTAGTGTGTCAGACTCCTACCCTTTCATTTCCATTCACTTCTACATGAAAAAGGGCTGACACATAATTTTATTCAAACTGAATCTAATTTTACTACACTATAAAACTGGATCTTCAAAACTAACAAACCCAAATATGATACAGAAGATGCTTATGAGTATGCTGATTGCTCATAAAAGAGCACAGACTGATAGCAGTCTTGCAGCATCTTCCTAGAAATAAGCTTTTGTCAGTGGGGCATAATTTAGTTAAAGTACAGCAAATCAGCTTAAGCAATGATACATCTTACAATTAATCAAAGATTATAATCAGCATAAGAGGTAGAGTTTTGTCGTTAAACAATAATGGAAATCAGAACTCTTATTCTGAATGGTCAGCTAATAAGTCTAATGTAATTTAGCAGGTGAGTAGATACAAAACTGTTATCAGTTAGCAGTATAGTTCAGGCTGTGGATTTGCAGTTTATTTGTATATAGTATTGTATCTGCTAAGTTATTTACTGGTTTTGTATTCTTGGTTACTAAGTGGGTAAGAAAGATTCTGTTAGTACTTACCCTAAGACTGTGAGTTTGGAGTGTTGGAGTAAAAAAGGAGTTGACTCCTTAGCTGTCTTATAGGGAGATCTTCTGAAATAATCATTTTCATCTGGATTTTCTTCAAATGTTGATGTAACGTTTCTATCTTTTGATCAAGTGTCTTGTAGCCATTTCAGTGTGGGAGTCTTCTGGGTTTAGACTACAGCTTATCATCAGACGCTAGCAATGTAATGGGATACGTGTTCGTTGGCCTCGGGCCACGTTAGGGCTGATCCTTCTTTGTAAAGTCTCTTGTACCTTGTCAGCATGTGGTTAAATCGTACGTGTGTCTGGTCTAAAGGGCAGACAGCTACACAGAATGATCCTTCAGCTATCCTCTGCTGCTTAAGCAGGGAAACAATGAATTATCATTTTCCTAGTCAGGATTCCTGTAGTTTAAGTATTCCCTTCTGTGTTGTTTTTAAGCTGATTTGGTCTATTAATGCAATATATGTATAGATACAACTAATTTTCCTACTTCCAATGCTATATTTTGAAATATCCATAGAAAAATGTGCAAGAGAGTGCTGAGAGTGAGAACTACATTCTTCTGCATTAGACCTTTCCATTTTGTGCTTGATAGTGAGTGGAACATCACAGAACAGAAGCTGCCTGTGATTTGTGCTGTAGTGTGTGACCTTTCCTTTTCGGGAGCTATTGGAGAATTCTCTACAAGCAAACTGATTTATCCTAAGGCTTATATTGGCTGTCAGCTACAAGTTTAGATGATGGGTTCTTTTCTTTACCAGTGAAACTTAGTGGATGAAAGAACTTACAGCCTGCTTTGGTAAGCCTTTTTTTGTACAAATTATTCAAGAACCCTAGAAAAGCTAATTCATTTTAAAAGTTGCATCTTTCAAACTGCCTTGATCTGACTTTTACCAAGCTGTTGAGCTGTAATGTTGTCTTAAGCATTTTCTGCGAGAGGAACTCTTGTACAGGAGAATATTACCATGGTAAATTCCAAGTTCTTCTCTACATTGATGATGACAGAGAAGTGTTTTCAACACTTGAGAGGGTGGCAGTGTTTTTTCCAATGAGGAAAAGTTGAAATATATAATCCTTTTTAAGATATCATACTGTCAAAATCCTAAACTAATTTAGAGCATGAACATATAGAAGAATCTTAGAACAAGTTAGACTGTGAATATACATTGCATATTCTGGTCTGTGGTAGCTGCCTGTGCACACCTTAGCCTGTGTAAATATAAGGTCATTCATATTAGACTAGATGGCTCTTTGTTTTTGAAGGATATCTTCATTTTTATCCGAGACTAAGAGCTTGTTTGTGTGTCTATGGCCTTGAAAGGCTAGCTGCTGTTTCAGTCTGCCCTTCCCAGAAAGGGTATCAGTAGCTCTCAGTAGTTCAGTGAAAATCACTCCTGTTATATGTACAATATGCAGCTCAATGTGCAAGAAAACTGGTTCAACACTGCATTCATTTAAAAGCAGATACAGCTGGTATGCAATAAAGAGATTGTACACACACAGAGACATGGATTCTGAGTTAGAAACATCTCAAGTTCTGGAATAGCAGAAGGTGGGAATTTTAGACTAATATGTTTATAGAGGTGCAGTGGACACATTGGTGAAAAGTGGGCATTTAGTATAACTTGATATTGATTTAGAAAAAACCCAGATTTGGCCATGTTACTGGATGTTCAGAGTAATTAATCTTGCTTACTGGTAAGCTGCACTTCAGTGTAGCGTGTACCTGTGGTTTCAGATCAGAGAGGGACCCATCAATCACAGCTGGCTCATTATTAAGGGTGATGGATTTTCCTCTGCATGTGTGTCAGGTGCTTCAACCCTCACATCTCCAAGGAGAATGGTCAGTTGCATGTGTTTCTTGCAGATGTGCAGAGATAACAAAATATCATACACAAGAATTTTTTCTTACACTTTTTAAACAGCATTTACTGAGTTTGAATTGGTCGCACCAGGTATGAAAATGTTAGTATTGCCTTCTTAGCTTGCCAATATTTAGTTTCACTCAGTCATGTATGGTTTAGAAATAGAGCAAGGGTTAAAAAAAAAAACAACCTAGTTAGTTAGACAGCTAAAGGATTGAGTCTTAGGAGAGAGATCAGGATGTCTCTTAATCTGTGAATTATATTTCATTAATAAAGAGGAAGAAGAGCTTGAAGTGCCTTTGGAGGGGCTTGGATTTCAGCAGCAGGAGTCACGGCTTTGTCAGCAGATGAAAATGGCCACTGTTGCGCCATCGCCAGAGCCTGTTTGCTGGCAAGTGGAATCAGTGACCAGCACAAATTCAGGACATGTTTGTACCCAAGGTAGGAGCTTTCTATGCTTCAAAAATTCTGCAGATCAGTCTGTAGGGCTTGATTGGATGGTTGTGAAGCGTATTCCTCAGTTTCTCTGCCTGCCTTCCAGTCAAGTATTCCAGTGCTTAGAGGTCGGGGAAAGTGCCTTGTTGTCCCTTAATGGTTATTCTTTTTGGTGCATGACTCATTTGCTAAATACCACAGCAGCAAAGCCAAATAAGAGCCCTCCCAATACCAGGCTGTCATGCTATGTAGTTTGTGCATCTTTTGAAGTAAATGTTTTCTTTAAAATGAAATCTTATATGGGGCAATATGACAACACTTTGGATGACACTACTGGAATATTTAGCAGAAGGAAACGATTTTTCACAGAACTTGACTCACTCTCTCTGAGTACACATAAAACCCAGCATTACAGCAGTTAAGGCTTTCTATCCCTCCTCTGCCCCCTTCCCAAGAGAAGTAGGAGATGGTGTTTTAATTGAAAAAATTTAAAACTTGGTATTTCAGGCAGGCATAATCTAAACCTTCATGTTTTGAGGTATCTTGTTTTTCCTTATTTGTGAGAGGCAGATAATCCTGTGTCTGATTACTGCAGCATCTCTGGTACTCTGCTCTGAAATGATCGGCTGCCCATGGAGACGGGTCACTGACCTTGATGGAAAGCCATGCCTCATCTGTTGTGGCAGTTCTTAACATTCTTGTGTACAGTTGAGGACATAAAATTCAATTTTACATCCCTTAATAGTTGATTCTACTGCTGGTTGTTTTCAGGACAGCATCAGGAAGCTTGCATTTTATTTTGCTGTGTTTAAGTGGCCTTGTCAGTTCCAGAAATCTGCAAGAGATGGATTTGAGAAGACTGAGTCTGAAAAAATGTATATGAGCACGTCAGTATTACCAGTCTGAGATAGACTCTGGTGCTTTCATTTATATAACTTAATGAAATAGTTTTGACTCCATATGAAGCAGCATTATTAGTAAGAAATCAAGAAATCCCTTTTAACAGATTATCAGTTTTTCACATGAAGGCATTGTCTTCTACTGATTATTGGTGTGTATATATTATTTTGTAATGTGATAGTGCCTAAGGAAGGGCCAGATCCCTCTTTACTTCATGAGGTGAGCCCCATCTGAGCAAGTTCACATGTAAAGACCACAAGCTGAGACACTTGGAAGTATGTGGAAATTATGCTAACTTGTGTGGCAGACAGTGGCGTGAGCACACCGAGGAGGTTTTTAGGGCAGGATTTGAGGAGAGTAATGAGTACATTTTGGCAGGTGTTACCATATATTTTTCTTAAATTGTTGAGGAGTTACTATTTCAGTAATTAAAGAGGCAATGCTATGGTGGAGGAAATTAAGGCTGATAAGTAAAGTGAAGTAGCTTTATTTGTTGCATTACAGAATGTTGAGGCAGTTAGAGAGTGCAAAGATAAGATGATTGCACCTGAAACAAGTGGGAAAATTGTGTTTGTAGTAGCCTTCTAACCAGATGTGGATGGGTCAGTGCTATTCTGCCACTTGTCCTGCTTGGTCAGACTGAGTTTCTGCTGTCCAGTAAGATTTTTTTTTTTAATTATTACTGGTTTCCAGTTGTTATTATAGAATCTTGAGGCATTTTCTTTTTCTGTTTCTGAGCCTTAATTAAAGCAAGGCTTGAAGAAAGGCCTTTTGAGCCAGCCATATGTCTTAACAATTAACTGTTCCCTCTTTGACATCGGAAATCCTAGATGGCTTCCTAACATGCTTTTCTTATTATTTTCCATTTAGCCTCCAGTTCCAAGCCTGAACTCAGCTCCAGTTCACAGACTTTGGGAAGTCAGCAGAACAAGACAGATGGCACCCGAGTTAAAACTCGCATTCTGCCCAACATGCCAAAGCTTTTCATACCTTCATCTGTCACCAAATTTCCACCTGAGATCACTGTCACTCCACCCACTCCCACCCTCCTTTCTCCAAAGGGCAGCATTTCAGAAGAGACCAAGCAAAAATTAAAGGTAATAAAAGGGAAACAGTAAGTTTTTAGATTGTTTTTATTTTGATTCTCCCATCAGTAAAATACTTGTATGAAAGGAGCAACAGTTCCTGTCCCCAGTTCATAACCAGAGATAGAATAAGTGGTGGAAGAAGACGCTAGGTGTTACCAGCAGGGCCAGTTTTAAAGGACTGGTGAAGTACTGGCTGTGGGTGAAATCATAGCTATCCTTACCCCTTTTCTGAGGGAATTAGAAAGAATTACAAAAATTGGGTGAGGGAGCTAGTGCAGCCATTGCAATTCTTAGGTTAGTGGAAGCTACCAGAATATTAACGGTGCAGAAGCCTACTGGTACGTGTTATGTTGTTTCACATTAGGATGCCGTATCTTTCGTAGAAGTAAGAGAGCTATTGAATGTGGAGGAATAGCAACCAGGAGGCTTTTATCCCTTTGATCATGGGTTTATCCTGACTATTTAGCAATATATTCTCTCTCTCTCTTTTTGGGATCAGTCTGCTATTTTGTCTGCTCAGTCTGCAGCGAATGTAAAGAAGGAGAGCCTTTGTCAGCCAGCTTTGGAAATCTTAGAGACCTCGAGCCAGGAGTCCTCACTGGAAAGTGATACTGATGAAGATGATGACTACATGGACATATGAATGAATTCTGGCCATCATCAACACCAACCATATAACCATTCTTCTTGTTGCCAGCTTCTCTGGCAGTTGAGACATCTTCGTTGGCATTACTCTCCATTTAATCTGCATCATTGTGTTCTTCACTTTCATTGCCTTTGTTATCACCACTACCACTGGTATTGCCTTCAAAATCTTCGCCATTCTCCCCATCATGGTGCTTGACGGAAAGAATGATTGTTTACCAGGCAGTTAATTAATTTGGACCATGCTGTCACCTTTAACTTCAGTAAACACAAGGATGTTCTTGAGCTGCAATTCATATCTCTCTGCTGTTCCTGCTTCTTCAAACCAGAGCCTTGGGAGTCACTCCAGTAGCTCTTTTCTATAGCATTTTTCTCCTTTATTTGTCTTTTTGCATTTTCCTCACTAGTTTTCTCCCAGTAACTCAGCAACCTAATGTCTGTCTAGCCATGCCACGATTAGTCCAGCAGCTCCTTTTAAGGTGAATGGAGTAGGAAAAAATTGCTGAGCTGGTAGAGATTTTAATTGCATCAAGAAGGTCTGTGGCTTTGTTGTGCAGCAAGAAGGGTGAGCTGCGAGTCTGTCAGCTCCTTGGCACGGCTGGGTGCTTTGTTGGAATTTGACTCAGTGACAATAGGCAAAGAACCAGCTTTTCCAGGCAGACAGAGAGGTTGGCCTCTTGTTTGTGCTCATTTCACACCAACGTATGAGGTCCAGCAAAAATGATATACCTGAATGTTGGCTTACAGAACTGATCTTTCCAGAATTGTCTTACAGTCCTTTCTCTTCTGATGCCTTGGACAAGCATTTTGAACTGGGGGCTAGATGATATTTTTATGGTGGTATTGAAAAAACTTGAAAGATTTCAGTACCATTTCAGTAATGTCTGTTTTTTACAGAATGACATGAAAAGGTGTTTTTTATCTATCTGCAGAGGGACTGCTCACAGTTATTTATATGAGAAAATAATGGTAACAAAGATCCTTTTTTTTTTTTTTCTACTAAATGTTAACTTTGTAAAATAATGCAAACCATGCAAAAAAAAAAAGTAGCGCTATATATACACATGTGTGTGCCCACACACATATATATATGTGTATATACATATATATATATGTATGTATATGAAAAATGAAAATGCATACAGCTTGCAATGTCGGATTTCTTTGTGTTTGGGGGAGGTGGTTTTCTGTAAAATGCAGAGCTTTGTATAAACTTGTTTTTTTTTCTAATAAAGTTGAAATGTACTGTTGTGTCTGTTTGTCTGAGAGGGCAAGGTGCCATCCTTCTGGGAAAATACTGCTCCTCCCTTCCTTTTATTTCTTGGATAAGAAGGTAGTGGAGGAAGTGGGGCGGGGGGAAGCCTCTTGCTTTTCTGAAAACTGCCAGAGCTCTTAGGATGGGTTTGGTCTTGTATAACCCTGTGTTGCCAAGATTGTATGCAACGGGTTCCCTTCCCCATTGAGATGTGATCTGAATTCTTTTTCACCTATCTGAGTATCTTTGAATGCTGATGAACAACATAAGGGGTAGGATAGCTCATTGTGAAAAGGATCACATGGAATAGTTGGCTGTACAAATTAGCATTTAATCCACTGTTACAGTAATCACTATCAATCACTGTAAGAACGGCGAATGGACTCTGGTTAAAAAGAAGCAGCATCAAGCTTTGTATTGCAAATTTATTCTTGTATTCTGGGTTATTTTGAACAAAATGTAATTTGTAAACAAGTGAGCATGTCTATTTTGAATGTATTAGCAACTGTGTGTGTAACTTGTTCTCTTACTACAAGTGGTAGGTGAGCTGGATGCAACTGACGTGGAGAAGATCAGGTAACTGAATGGTAAAAGCTCTTTTCAATAGTATGTTTTCAGTGTTTACTCTTTAATTTGATGTAAGCTATTATAAATACAGTTATAGCGTACTATATAGTCATTAACTGGTAATAGGCTAAGGTAGCTTTAGATAATGATATTTATCTTTTTAAAAGACAGCATAGGAAAATATAAATCAGCTTCTTATGAGAAGTGGAACACACCTTGGAGGTTGTAGTTCTAAATAGAGCTGTTTCACCCAAATAGAGTAGACTTGTAGGCTTTTTGGGTGATGTAAATTCTTAAATGTATGGCTAACTTTAAGATCACATTTAAGTTCTTAAATCTGCACTTCTAACATGGGTTTGATGTTTGAAGGCAGAGCATTTGATTTTCTTAATTGAATTTGGTCACTGAAAATGGTTGGTTTCCTTTGGTATTCCTTGGCATTAGGCATTTTGCTGTTGTGTTGTGTGCTGTTTTTTTTTCTTCCCTCCAGAGCTTGCTAAAATACCTGATCTTGAGCTTTCTTTTGACTGCTAGTCCTGCTTTTTGAGGATTTAATTTTTTGCTGGTTAAGGAAAGCTAGAACAGTAAGTACAACTGTTCCTGTCAGCAAAGAGAGCTGAACTTTGCTGATCTGCTCTAAACTAGTTTTAATCTTCAAATTACACAACTGTGCAACTTATTTTATACTATATTCAAAACTCTTACCTGTTTTCCCCTTTTTTTTTCTTTTTTAATCTATGATCTTTTATTTACATTGTGTTCTCAAGTGGCTTGAGGGCTTTCTCTCAAGCTCAGGAAATTATTGAGACTGAACTACATGGGCCACCTCCTTCAAATCCTGCCCTTCTGCTAATGACTAAACAGTGTGTTGCTCAGCTGTGGGCATCTTCCACAATGGATAATACTGCTGATGTACGTGGAAGAAGCTGTTCTTCTATATGTGTGACATCGTCTCTCCGTAAGTACAGTGTATGTAGTTCTTCAGTTCAGGAAGCCATTGAAGATGCCAAGATCACTGAATGCATTTACATACAATATTGGTCTGAGTCACTATCCCTAGGGGTGATTGGAGCAAGAACTTCATATCCTTACAAACAGAAGTCTTCACTTAGTATGGCATCTTCTGAAGCCTGGCAATATAATTTTGTGGAATTTTCAAAAATAAAAAAGCATTATGGTAAAACTACAGTTAGCTATTAGTTTACTTGAAGTAATTTATTTAATTTCAGTCTAATCCTATTTGTAATAGCTTGAAATCTGAGTATAGGCAAGGTCCAGCTTAACCAACTCCCCCCCTTTTGGAGTTGCATAGCAAACGTGAACACATCTATCTTCAGGATTTACTGGGTAACCGTTGCTTCTGAAATCTCAGTGTTCCGAGGTGTCTTTCTAATGTGTCAGATGACTCAGTGGCAGCTACTGAAGTATATTGCTTCTGTGTTTTGTTTTTTTCTTTCCCTGTGAAGCTATAGGAACAGCAATGTCTGGTGCCTAAAGTAAACTTAAAGGTAAGGTCTGTGACCAAGTGGGGTGAGGAAGAGGCTTTTACCTTTTTTTTTTTTTTTTTTTTTTCCTGCCAGCAATTGAATAAAAAGCAAATCTCTCTTGGCTACTGAAAAACCACACTGTTGAGACTTCAAGGCAAATAGCAAAAATATTTTTGTTCCAGAGCAAATGGAAAAAGACATTATTTTGAATTGGATATTGAGAATAGTTTGTGGATAGCTGATACGCCTTCTGTGCTGTTATTGGACATTGTTTTTACACATTGTAAGATACCTTTCACTGATCACCACTGCTAAGGTATATAGTACTGAGATTTGGCTGTGTTTAATGCAGGTTCATTTCCTGGCACAAGGATTATATAATCTATGTATAGTTAACACCATTGAGAATTTATCTTGCTGCGGCAAGGACTAGTGTTTTACTAAGAATTAATTTTGTTGGGCACAGCTGTCATTAGTGGCTTCTGCCCACTGTCTCACAAGTGCTGTTCTTCAAAATCTGATGATGTTTCATTCCACAACCAAAATATCAAATGAAGGAAGATACTCGGTATCTTCCTTAATTTTATGATGTACTAGGGTTTGTCAGTTGTTGTCTCTTGTTTTGTTTGGTTTTGGTTTGTGTTTTGTTTTGTTTTTTTTTAAATTAGACTGAGATTTCCTCATGAATAATGAAATTAATGTCTTTTGCAGACAAAATAAACACCATATGGTCAGGGAGAAAGGGACCAGGACAAAAAGGAGGAAGGCAAGGCAGCCAAAGCTGATTAGGAGACAAAATGGACTGAAGGGAAACAGAGGGGCCAGGTGAGAGTAGACTTAAGTCTTACCATCCAGAGTGAGATCACGCCACTATTAAATTCAGTATTCTGGTTTTGGCAGTGGTGTTGATATTTTAATAAAGTGAAAAATCTGTGGTGTACGTAGCTTGTGTGTACTCTGTTATGCACTGAACATAGCTTGTTTCTGTTCCTGCAGATGCTTGTCGTATTTTTAGGGGAAGAGGTGGCAGGGTAAATGAATTGGGATGCTCAGAAGGAAAACCAGCAGATATGAAACTTGTGATCTCTTAGGTAAAGTTGGGATGAAGAAACTCTGTTCTTGAAGTTGATGATAATGGTGAGAATTTTAGTGTAGATGCTGAGTGTTAATTGCTGTCTTTCCATTTTCTTCTAGCTGATGACTAGGAATCCAATGATCCTAAGCTTTGAAGCATGTGTCAGGAGTTTGGGAGTAACCTCAGGGTACTGTACCACAGATTGTACGAGCCCAAGTTACACCTTTGTGAGAACTTCCCCCTGGGACACTCAGCTGTTGTTGTGGGCACAGTGCAACAGGTAGCATTGTGAGGGGTAGCAGACCAGCACCTGTGGTTTGTTGGCTTCTGGAGGTTCTCTTATCTTCATTTAGAGACTCCAGTCTCACCAGAGATTTAAAGACAGATCTCTCCTTGGATAGACATGTTTGTTCCTGCTGGTGTTTATCTAATGCACGTACAAGGATGACACCCCATCAGCAAGCGCTGGTTAGCCAGCTGCAGAGTCCCTGTTCCACAGTCTGCAAAGCTCTTAGAGCACACCAACTTCTGTGTGGCTTTATTCACGTAGCGTGGGTGTCTTACTGCCCGTGGATTTCTTTTGGCTATTAAAATGACCATTAAACATGGTCTATTAACATGGTCCGTTAACCATTAACATGACCATTAAAAAAGAGTTGGGGCCTTACAGACTATGTATGGAACAGGCACGTTTGTTTGATTTCCCCCCCATGCTGCCCACAAGCCATCTATACCAAGCACATGAGCTGTTTGCCGTGTCTTTAGGAGCTCAGTGCTGGCAGAGGCTCCAGTGCAGGCTCAGGTTGCAACCTTGCAATGCTCAGATGCAACAGCACAGTAGCTATGGATGTCAAGGGGATTTCCTGTATATTATCTCAAAAATATTTTCTATCCTATGGATATGTTATCCCTAATAAAATGTCATGTATGAATAAGAAGAAAACATGTGGCAAGGCTGTGAGTGCATCTCTACATAGCTGTGTGCTCAAAGCTCATCCCCTGTCGTTTGGGAGTTACACTGCCTGCTCTGGTAGCACTAGAGGGGGCCCTAGGACAGAGAAGAAAAAGGGGGGGAAAAAAAAGGGTTGGGGGGAACAACCCCCACCCCACACCAAACCCTAAAATGGATGAGCAGGATCTATCTTTAAACGTGTAAAAGACTAACTTACATTGCTGGTTTTGACCTCACTTACTTCTAAGGGCTTTCTGCTACTGTACCATATGTCCTTTTCTTAATATATGGTCTAATTCAAAGCAGGGTGAATGTGAATCCTCATAGTCTGTTTATAAGATTCTGTCCCATGTTCCTGGCAAAAAAAAAAAATCATTAACATTAATATTGCAACTTAGCAGGAGAACAGATCCTTCCTTTTTAAAAAAAAAAAAAACAAACAACAACCCTATAAAAAGCCTACTGGGTGTTTTCCATTTTCTTGATGTGCAGCATGTTATAATGGGGGAGAGAAAGTATCTTTTGACAGTTAATCTTTGATAAAAGGACCTAAATAACGCTTTCAGCTCCATCGGTGTGAATCCTGATTAATTCAATCCTAGTTCATTGCAGTGGCATGGGGGTTGTACCAGTGTAACTGAGCCTAAGAGCAGGTGATAAACATGCATCTTATGGATCTGTAAGTGTTTTGAGATAGTTTTGTTAAAGTAAAATTCTAATTAAGGACAAAAACGTGTATGAAAATGATGGAAGAAATATGTAGCTTTCAAGCTGGGAAAAAATCTTGTATAACAGTCTCTGTTATCTAAAGCAGCCAGGAGCTAAGATCAAGTACTGCAGTAATCTTGCAGAAGTGCATGTGAAATGGGATAGTGAGGTGGAGCTGAGGCCATGAACTGACTGCAGA